CACTAATTGAATTTTTTTTCTTATTTTTATAGAACGGGGGGGAAACTTACAGGAAGCTCACCTGATATTAAGTGATATCGCCGCTCATGGACACACTGCCAGAAGACTCGCAAGTGCGTTGCCGGCCTTTCAATTGTGATATTATAATCAATAAATTATTTCTTATAATAATTATGCATTCGGAAGTAATATAAGCTCCAAAGATCCTTTTATGCGTCCTTATAAATCTGAAAGGGAATATTTATTTGTCTTAAGAAATTTTGAATACAGACTGCCAAGTTAAAATATGGTGATAAAAAGGAAACTAATTTTGACAAAGTTCTATTTTCAAAGTTTGGTAGTTATAGAAGCGTCATTCAGTGTTTAGACAAGTACAACCTTTTAACCTCACTTTAAAAATGCATACTTTCAAGGAAAATTTAAAAACAAAAGAGAATTGGTAAAACAGACTATCCTATCTTTCAGGAGTTTCCTTTCTTTACAATTCACTAAGCAAGTAAATGTGGTTAACAATTCTCTCTCGAACTTTAAAATGTTGAAAGAATGAAACTTGATCGAATGTATTGATGAATTTAAATGAGATATTTGAATTTGGAACATGTTGCATACAGAAACAGCCCGCCATCAATGCAATTAGTTGTCTATATAAACCATAGATAATGCGCTTTCTATGGAAAAAATAAACGACTTTAAGAATACAGATAAGTATATCTTACATACGATTATCTTATATTGCTTGACAGTTGATCAAAAAATTAACGTAAGTTCTAGCTTAATAATATTGCAGATTAAATATGAAACAATGGAAGTAAGAATTTAAGAAACCTGTAGCTTAGTACTTCACGGACATGAACGCGTGTATTCAACTAATTGTAACATTGTTTGAACACACACACATATTGCGTGTGCAAGAGAAATCATTAAAACTGCCGACCCTTGAGAGGTTTCTTGAGGGTTTTTGAAAATTCAACAGTTTTTAGGCGAGCCATAAACGAAAGATTATATTGAAAAATTAAGGTCTTGTACCGGTCTGAAAAAAAAGATAAGGTATATTATTTATATCTTAAAAACATGTTCTGATTTATTTATAGGTCACTCTTTTTATAAACTATAATAATACGCTACGGAAGAAGTTGATAAGTTGTATATTTTAAAATTATATATTGCATGCATTGCAACACTTTTATGTTCCACAACTGGGTTTTATTGAATATTAAGTTGAAAATAAAACTAAAATAAATGCATTAATATCAATTTATTGTAATTCCTAATTCAATTAGGCTTGATACCTGCAAAATTCAAGAGCAATGTTTTATAATTCAACAACAATTTCCTTGGAGTCTGTAAATTAACGATTTATGTTGGCAACACTTTACAGCTGTATAACTTTTTTTATAGAACAGCGGGTTACTTGACAGGAAGGAGGTTCATAATTAAATAGACATTAACAATGCTAGAAGTCTTGCGAGAGCATTGCCTGCCTTTTAAATACGAGAAAATATACACATTATCGATATTATTATAGTAGAATAGTATAGTTTAGAAATTATGACATTAAACGTATTAATTATGACAGATAAAAAAAACAGTGTTGCTACCTCTTTAGGTCTGGGCCTCAGATTTCTGAATCTGTTTCATGATCATTTTTAAATCTAATAGGCAAGTAGGTTTTTTTTTTTTTTATAGAACAGGGGGCAAACGGGCAGGAGGCTCACCTGATGTTAAGTGATACGCGCCCAGGACACTCTCAGAGGTGAGCGTTGCCGATCAACCTCCAGTGCCTGACACAAGCCTTCGACTTTTTGGGTCTAAGACATGTCGGTTTTCTCACGATGTTTTCCTGCACCGTTCGTGCGAATGTTAAATGCGCACATAGAAAGAAAGTCCATTGGTGCTTAGCCGGGGATCGAACCTACGTCCTCAGGGATGAGAGTCGCACGCTGAAGCCACTAGGCCAACGCTGCTCTGGCCAATTATGACAGATACTATATTTAAATCGAACCTATGATCGAATTTAGATCAATTAATTAATCAACCAAAATTTTTATATACTTATATATGAATGAAATAAATGAAAGTAGTTAATTTGATTTAATAAGTAGCATCGAGTATTATTAAGTATTTATACGTGAGGTCGCCACAGAATAAATGATTTCCTTACAATGTCTGAGATCATTGTCAACGATGGAGAATCATTATAACCTACAATTAAACGCATCCATGGCATTTAAGAAATTATGTCGTTAACTTTTGCCAATATTATCTTGAACTTTTAATAATTCAGTTTTACAAAATAGTGTCTTTACAGAGGCCAGTTTGATTTTTGTAAATTTTTGAATGATTTTGAATCTGGGTACTTAGGTCGTCGACTCGCGTAAATCAAAATTATTAGGTTTTTAAAATATAGGAATCATGCGCTGCCTCGACTCTGAATAATATTTGGCAAATAATAGAAGCGTATTTTTCAACTTTCGCTATGCATTGACCTCTATTAACCCACATGCTATATGACCATCGAACTCAGTCACAGTACCCTAGTATTCCTATATTTCGCGATATTTATCCTTCCTTACTCTCTAAATTTATGATAAATATATCTAAAACGATGTATGAAGACTCAAAATTTTCTCATCAATAATTCCTTTATTTGCAGACAAATGGGACAATTTAACTCAATACATTATTCTTATAAGACCATAGAAATGTATAAGTGCAAATTATGTGTGTAAAGCTTGCCTGTACTGTGAGATGTGTATTATATTTATTATATTACTAGTGGACCCCACAGACGTTGTCCTGCATGATATTTAAAGCGATTAGGATATTAAGCAAAGTATGAAAGTACCGACTGCAGTGCCATCTGCCGGGCTGATTTGTGAATCTAAACCATTCCCAGATCCCCTTGAACACACACAAAAAATTTCATCAAAATCGGTCCAGTCGTTTGAGAGAAGTTCAGTGACATACACACTCACAGAAGAATTATATATATAAAGATGTGTCAGGAGTTGAAATGGAATTAAGAACGTTATACTCGTACCCTAACACATAAGTATTGAATATATAAATAAGTGTGGATATCTGCACCTAAGGTAACAGGAGTCTTACCGGTAGGATGAGAGTTTCAAGGTGGTGGGATGTTCTCAAAGCTATCGGACAGGATCACCACGATAATCAAGGGCTTCAAGCCTTCGTCACTTTGTGAGGAAGCGATAAATTAATAGTGATAATACTTTGGTTTGGAAAGCATTTATTTATTTATTACACTAAAATGAAACCCCCCAAACCCCCCCCCCCCGTACATTAATATATTTATAAACATTCTGGTTGTATTATGTTCTGTGTTGTATTTTATTTTTTATGTGCGTAGTCTTTCTGAGTTGTCTGCAAAAAAATGCTTTTAAAACATCCTTTGTGATGGACATAAGAAAATCTGTTTGCGCTATTTTCTGCGCATTTTACATATAAATTTCGCAAAACAGCATTCGTAGCGTGGCTGTGGTATATGATCTTATTGAAACTATTTATGATAATATGCATTGTATTGATTGACCTTTATAGGTTGTAATATTAAATGTATCAAGTATGGTATAGCTTTTATGACATAGGCTACAAGAAAGTTTAAAGGTTGGTGGACTCAGTTTCCGCACTTAGACTCTCACTATGTCCGTGCGCAAAGTCCTGGCTAACTAAGCCAGTCTAGCTCCTTCCAGAAGCGCAGAAGTCTCCTGGGCACTTCGCAGGCTTCACGGAGCGACCTCACTACTCCGAGGATGTTTGTACGTTGGTTAGCCACAGCCTCGCATTACAGGACTACGTGGGTGACTGATTCCTCTGCGCTGAAACAGCTTCTGCACATGGGGTTGTCGCGGACCTAGGCTACATATCTGACGCTGACCTTACCTTATAGATTCTTCCAGAAGCTTTACTGCTAGAATTTACGTATTTCTCATGTCTTAGTCTTTTTAAAGAAGTATCAAATAAATTCATCTGTTTTCTAATGATTTAAGAAATGGCCTAGTTAGAAAATTTTAATTATGCCTATATTATTATATTTATGATGAGTGACTACTGCAGGCAAAAGTGACTTGCACGTTGTACTTAGTGTGCAAAAGTGATTCCGATCCCAATTAAAGTACTTTACGCCATTTGCACTATGTGTATTGAAAGTGCTTCATCATTCAATTACGTCAATTTAAGGATCAGTTCTTCTAATTATTTCGGTCACTTGAGTTAGTAATTGGAAAACGATATTAGTTGCAAAAAATAAAAATAAATGTGTGCAAAGTTCCGTTAGCCAAGGTGACGTGGAGCGTTTGTTTCACTGATTTTTATAGGAACTTGTACCGAAGTAACTCATATTCACAGTTTGTTCCTGGTATTCTAGCTTATTTTAAGTTTATTGTTATATCACATAATATAATGTTATTTACTAGTCAATAATAAGAATAAAAGTGTTATAAGATGTATGTAGACAACAGAGCAGTGTGCAACTCATCTCTGAGGTCATAGGTTCGATCACCGGCTGTGCACCAATGGACTTTCTTTCTATGTGCGCATTTAACATTCCCTTGAACGGTGAAAGAAAACATCGTGAGGAAACCGGCTTGCCTTAGACTCAAAAACGACGGCGTGTGTCAGGCACAGGAGGCTGATCACCTACTTGCCCATTAGATTGACAAATGATCATGAAACAGATACATAAATTTGAGGCCCAGACATGAAAAGGTTGAAGCGCCACTGATTTTTTTTTATTTACACAACCCAAGCCTTAAGATTAGAATAAACATAATTCAAATGTAACTAAAAACATATTAATAATTGTTAAATTTGACATATTTATACAGTTTTAAATACTTATCAAATGTCAAACAAATTAGATCTTTGAATTAGATCAATTTGGCTAAGGGTGTCCAGCACCCCTTGTGTTGCCGAATTAAGTGAAAGGTGTAAAGATATAAAAGTAGCCTGCGCCTGCGCCGAGCCTCCGACTCGACAACATGACAACGGTAGTGCGACTGGTATGTTCATTTTTGACTAATTTATTTATTAACTAATTTATATATTTTTTTTCTTACATTTCATAGATTAACTTATATAGTTTTACATTTCATAGATTAGTATGTTTTTTACTATTTTTAATAATTTCAATTAATACAAAACTCACTTTAGATATATAAATTTGGTAATGTGCAGTGATAACAAATAAAAAAAAATCAAATGTGTGAAAAAAAAATAACAGTGCATTGGACTTAACCAACTACGAAGTGTATAGTGATGTGTTATTCTGGACTGTTGAGGACATTGGTTATATACAGACGCCATTGACTCGTTATATAAGAAAGAGATCGTGAGAAAATATGCTGCTTAATAGTGATTACCAAGACTTTTATTACCCATGAGCTCCGTTTTTAAGTAACGGGCAAACGTCTTAAATTATTTTTTGAGGCTTTGATCGAACCCCTTGCAGTAAATATATACGGAAGAAATTGAGCCTGGTCGGCCTGACATTGTTGTATACATTCCAGTTTCAGAATTAATTTTAATAATAAGCGTACTTCTTTTATAGCTTATCCGAACAGTCAAAATATAATATAGTTTTTTTTAATTAAACCGAATACTCAAACAGATATTACAGATAGATAAACAATATAGGTAAAATATCGAACACTAAAATTTTATATTTATTTGTATATTATATCTTTCCTTTCCCATCCGTAAAAGGTGTCTTGCTCTATTTTTCCGTTCTCTCAAGTAAATGGGCATGACCATGAATAAATAATAATTATGATTGAAAGCTACTTTTCAAGCTTTTGCGTAGAGCTTACAATCGTTAACCTTGGACTTTTTTCAAGATTTGTAGTTATTACATACTTCTTAGGCTTACAGAGGCATTTCTTTCGCGTGCTTTTATCACATAGTGACGCATTTTATTTAATTCTTATCATATAAAGTAATTTACGTCCGTAGCAGATGAGAGATAGTACGGAATCCGTGCATACAAATAAAATGAATCACATGACATTTTCGTTTATCTATCTATCTGCCACTCTCATAATATAATTAAAGTTAATATTTTATAATGAACAATATTTTAAATTATTCATAATAATGTTTTCTTTACAACAATTAACAATTTAGTGACATTTAATTTATCTCCTGCTTAAAACCAATATTGTTGATATTCCCCAATTTTTAATTTCCTTATTGTTATATTGTCAAAACGTTTGAAGCCTTAAATATATATATAAACATTTAAAGTACATAAATACTTCTTGCAAATATAAGAATTTAGCTTAAAACGAAACAATTGTTTCACTTTCCGGAGTAATCATGTCGTAAGTAATAGCTTCTATAAAATAGCAGTTGAATGTCGTGTCACTTTTACCCAATGACCTTATACGCAACAATCTACCTTGTTATTTATTCGTTCCGGACTATTTCCCTAATGCACTTTACTCAATAATATATACCTTCATGTTAAAGTGTTCATCCATTCCCTTTAGTCGCAATTCATATTCAGTAAAATAATTTACATACGTTTCTTATGCAGTGTCGGGGCTAGGGATAGTTGTTAAATACATTTCTTGTGCAGTATCAGTGCTAGTAAGGAATTATATTAGTAGCAAGTGAGGGGATTTTTACTGTTGTCGAAGTCTACACGTGCTGGAAGCAATCATACCTCTTTCATATACAGATAGTTGTTAACCAAACTCGTACCATTCTTATAAATCATACTTTTAATTAAAAGACAAATATTATAAATTTAAGAAAAGCTGTATGATAAATTAATCTTAGCTCATCATCATCAGCCTCTTTTTTGGTCCATTTCTGGACGTAGGCCTCCTCCATCTTGCTTCAGTACGCCCTGCACTGGTCTCTGGATCCACTGGGAGCTAACTCCCTTGACTATGTCGTCAGGCCACCAAGTCGGTGGGAGGCCTCGCGTTCTTTTTTTTGCCGAGGTGTCCATTCACGCAGCCTGCAGGTCCATCAGTTCTTGACCATGCGCGCTAAGTGGCCTGCCTATTATTACATATTGTTACACAATTGCTTTTGTTAGAATACAGTATAAATCGGTAATTTAAAATGAAAATGAAGTTAATCAGCGAACGTATGCTAGATTCAACCTTGCCCATATCTCATAATGATTCCTAAATTAATTATTTATTGTATCAGTAATTAATATAATAGAACTATTTTATGAACGACATTGAGACATATCCGAGTCTCGTGCGGCACGTGCCGGCGGTTACATTCACTTCAAATAGCGTCAGCAGCTTGGTTATACAATATATGAGAAGATAGTATTAATAATTTGGTTTTAATGTATGTACGAAACTATTAAGAAAAAATATTAATATCTGTGAATTAATTTAATTGAGTAAAATAATGCATTCTTCAGTATTATTATTAATAACTGGTAATTCTTTATTCTTTTGTATTGCACCGCAACTCATGAATCCGTGAGATTAGCTTTTTAGTTTATTTTATTATTTTTGTGTATTATTTTAGATTTAGGTTGGTTTTTATAAGATTTAGTTATGCGCTTTGCGCTCCTTGCATTTTACCCATCATATTTCTTTTTTTAGTCTTTTTCCTTGCCTGGAAGGGATGGCTTGTTAGCGATAAAGCCGCCCGTTGCATCCCTTATAGTTTTTATGTTATTTTTTTGTCTATAATGTAACGAAGTGTAAGTCAATAAAATAATATTAGTACGCCCTTAGTTTGGTTCTTGTATAAGAATAGTCAAAGGCTCTCCTCCACCAGAGAATAGAACAAAGCAAACCGACTTAGTGTAAAATGTATTTGCTGACGTTGCAGGGTGGAGTACTAACAAGAGCTGCCTATGAGAATCTAGTACACAATTATTTATTGATTGCCCGCGATTTCACATAACGCTTTTATCGTTAATGCGTTTTTAGGAAAAAATACTGTGATTTATGATGTTAGTGTTACCCATTGAATACGGCTCGCTCGATTTCGTGCTTACAATACAATGGTTCTGCTGAATTCTGAAAATCTCTACTCTTCTACTACTCTTACTTCAAAGTATCAAACTAAGAAAAAAGTGTTTTTTTAAGTAATTTAATAATAAAAAACTCTTATTTAAACGCGTTCTAAACAAACCTTTTGGAAAGAAAATTATGTTTACTTTGGTCGAAGTTTTTATTTTTGTGTCCTTCCAAATACCATATCATAATTACCAACGTTTCTTTCATAGTAAATGTAACGACTCGTTGCATTTATCACTGGTATTTTGGATATAAATCCGGTGAACAACGTATTTCCTAGGTGAAGTGAGTGGTGGTCAAACCGGCTCTGTCCTCTAAGCAAACGCCCTTTGTGCGAACAAGTTGTTTTAAAAATATAACTATAAATCAGACTATAATATGTTGCACGCGATTTATATCGGCAACACTTGTAATAAAAATTAAGACGTCCGTTGCTAATTCTTTAACCTGAAAGGATTCTTGCTGGCTTTATTTAAATTAAAAACCCACAAAAAAATAGTAATACTGATTATTTACCTAAGATATACCCAAAGGGCTACATTTTCGAGGGTAATTTATAAATTTGTGACTGTGTATTAAATTTAAACTTACTGTATCTATTTCTTCATACATACTTGTATGAAGTATTAGAGTTATATAATTTCAAGTTTTACTTAGAGTAGTTCTTTAAGTGTACGTCATTTAGCAACGATTTAAAGACATAAATCCAATTGAAAGTTGATAGTAGTAGTAGGATACTATATTTCCATAAGTACTTTACTGAATAAAGCAATACGTCTGGGTAATTCTCAGATATTCATTTATTTCTATAATATTATTATATCGACCCATTGACATATTATTTTTGACATGTGTCACCTAAAAATGCTTTTTTATTTTGGAGGCCGCAAATTCTTGTTAACTTAAAAATAGTTCACAGTTTTGTAATTTTAAAACAATTTAATACTAGAAGTTAACACTTGCACCACCCAGTCACGGAACGTGGAAAAGTGGTATTTTTTTCAATTACGTTAATAGACAAGGTTAAATTTCACTATTCTGTTATTATATGGAAGGCTGAGCACGCGTTAGTTAACTTTTCGACTATTTCTAAACGGTTGAAGGTATATTTTCCTTATTATGATGACACCTCGCTTTGTGCTAGTAATGTTCTTAAGTATGACCAAATTGCTTTATAGAAATGTATTGAAGTGATGCGAAAATTATATAAAATTCATTTATTCTATTTATTATTATTCTATTAAAGAGTCTATAAAATATTTTTATTTATTTACACTTTGCATAATGAAACTAAAACAATATGTTTATGTATGTATGTAAACAATGTAATAAATTTACGCTGAATCCAACAGGTCTTATCGCTTATAAGGCTTTATCTAGGCAACCTGTCACAATATTGGCAATAAAATGTTAAACACAAATGCCAAAAAACTACATATGTATGAACTCCTATGGGATATGGCCAAGCTGAATATGATGATGATCAAACTGAATATCTTCGCGATTATTGATATTTTTAAAACACGTAAAGATAATCTGCTGTTCTCGTTTCCAGGTTATATTAGCGTTATGCGCATGTGCACAGGCGCAGTACGCAGAGGAGCGTGCTCCACGATACATAGCATCGGAGTCCAAAAGCGAACCACCACCACCAGTCGCTATTCTTAAACAAATAAACCGGTACGATAGTGCATTATTAATAATAAATCTAAAAAATAAATTTCACCTTGCTACGAAGTAATGACATATCAACTAGCGTATTATCTAATAAACTGACAAAATAGTTAAATTATTCATAAAAACTAAATTTATTTACACCGTTTTAATATATGTACTCCTATTTTCATCCATCAATACAATTTGACTCTAATTTAATTTATGAATAAGGGCAGTACCTTACTGTTAATTCATTTAAATATTAAAAAAGACAAACCCAGTTTAAAGCAAGTCGGCAATATATCAGTAAAACCGAGATAAAACCTAGTAGGATTCTATATTTTGGTTTATACGAGAAACCACATAAATATGTTTTAATGCGTAATTAAGAAATATCTCCATATTTCAGACACAACGAAGATGGATCATACACTTACGGCTACGAAGGAGGTGATGGTTCATTCAAAATCGAGACCAAGTCGGTTGGCGGAGAAGTCAAGGGAAAGTACGGGTACAAAGATGATACTGGAAAGGTAAATGTTTAGATAATGAAGGCTGTAGTGTTTGTAAGCTACCCTGAACCTGTGCCAAATATTTAAATTTGGTAATGGTTAAGAAAAATGGTCAGTTAAACTAACTGAATGAATTCAAAATTCTCGTTAAACGTAAATTAGTCAATAAAGCTTTTTAGACATTTGAAGATTATTTAAATGACGCTAATCCTTGGGATCGATTTGCTCCAGTTCAAACAATTTGTATGACTCATAACTTGGCAATTAAAAAGAGTGCCGGAAATAAATTTGCCCGGTCTACGCCCTTAACTTGCGAACTGAAATTAGAATCAGTATAACATCTTTTCTGTTGACCTTCATATGTGTATTTGGTTACCTATATATTTGAAGTTATTTTGAATATGAAACATACGATGTGTTTATTACAAACTTAAAATTTGCAGCGGACAGAGAACCGTAGTGGGTAATGATCTACATGGACTACTTTTTTGTTATATTGCTAAGATAACATCTACTATTATTGTCTTTTAACATAACTTTTACACATAGAAAAACAATTTTTTAACGGATTGAAGTTATGTATTTTAAATCTTTTAGTCGATACCAACTCCGGGGAAATAAATACAGATAATACAACTCCTTCTACAGCTGTGACACTTTTTGACATTCAACATCTTTTGTCTTCAGTCACCGTGACCACGCACGCTGTAAAGAACGTGAAACGTCGGTTAAATTTAAAATTATGTAAAATAATTGTAAAAATTTAAAATACATAACTTCAATCCGTTAAAAAATTGTTTTTCAACATCTACATAGTTCGACAGAAATTATGATATTTAATGTGTACACCATAAGAATAAATGAAACTATGAACTAATATTAATTATATAACATCGTATAAATGCTGGTTCTTTTTGCGCACAGACTCTTTTGAGAAAGCATTTGGCTTCTGTGTCAATCCTGTTAAAATATGTATATTTCCGGAGTAGAACAAATAAAAGCTTGATGATTAATATCGAGGACTCTGTGCCTCATATCATATTTTCCTAGGCATGTGAATATACATTAGAAAACACCATACAAAATCCTTAAATTTTTCAGTTAAGAGTAATCGAGTACGGAGCAAACAAATATGGTTTCCAACCATCAGGTGAAGGTATCACTGTAGCCCCACCAACACTTGTCGATGAGTCCAAAGGGCAGGAGGGACCTAACAAACAACAGGTATAAATATGAGTATACTTCTAGATTAAGAGCAAAGCTGGCTTAGTGGCTTCAGCGTACGACTCTAATCCCTGAGGTCGTAGGTTCGATCCCCGGCTGTGCACAAATGGAAAGTCCTTTCTATGTGCACATTTAACATATTTTGATCGAACGGTGAAAGGAACCATGGTGAGGAAACCGGCATGCCTTAGACCCAAAAAGTCGACGGCGTGTGTATGTAGGAGGCCTCCTGTCCCTGAGGCCTCCTACTTGCCTATTAGATTGACAAATTATCATGAAACAGATACAGAAATCTGAGGCCCGGACCTCAAAAAGTAGTGCCACTGATTTTTTATTTATATCTACATATAGATTTTATGTTAAGTGACAATAATGCACCGCGAACTTAACACCCCCAGAATAGTTAGATAACATCAGATTGAAAGTTTTGTAAGATTTTGTACTAGTGCCGCTGCTTCAAAAAATTAATTACGTGGCGTACGTTAAATTAATTGGTTGTACAATTACAGCTTTATCTATTCCATTAGTATTGATAATACAATTTGACAAATACCATTAATTGTATACAGCTGTATTAGAAAAAAGCAGAGCAATTATACGCGGTGCAGATAATAAACATATGAGAAATTGGTTTTCTGTACATATTTTTTTTTCATTTATAATTATAACAATAATCGGTAAAAAGTCATTATTAAGTTATTGTTTTTGTGTGTTGTAATATTTGTTCATAAACACGACATTCATAATATTTGTTTATTGTATTATTGTTTCCGCCGTCTCAGTTGCAAAACTAAATGCGACATTTACATACGTTCCTTAAACATTGTTACAAGTTATTGGAACTGCCTTTAACATGTTATCCAAACATACATAAAAATCCTTCAGGACAGTTGCTACATAATAATGACTAACTGTGATTATAAAGTTTCGCCTGTTTAAACTAATGCGACATAATACGTTCTCTTTAACATTGTTACATTATTCCTTATGGTGACATGTGGTAAATCACAAACATACATTCCTTCAACATTGCTACATAATAATGTAATGTGATTATAAAGTTTCTTGCCTGTTTAAACTAATGCGACATACATACTGAGTTCCTTAAACATTGTTTGCGAACATGGGTAGTCTTGCCTTTCATGAATTATCCAAACATAGTTGCATTTCCTTCAACATTGCTACAATTAATTACAAATTGAAAAAACGTTTTTTGATTGTTTATGTAATGTGATTATAAAGTTTCGCCTGTTTAAACTAATGCGACATACATACATTCCTTAAACATTGTTACATTATTCCTTACATGTTATCCAAACATACATTCCTTAAACAAACTATTTTTTTTACAGCAAGGACGTTCTCAGTACCGCGCACCCCAAGAACAGTCCATAGACTATGATTACGAGGAACCTGCGCCCCGGCCGGCACCGAGACCGTCACCGCAGCAGGCATACCGGGCGCCTTCGCCCCAGCCCCAATACCGTCCAACACCAGCTCCCTACAGGCCAGCACCGTCACCCCAGCCTCAATACAGGCCGGCTCAACAATCTGCACCTACACCACCAAAGGTATGATTAAAAAAAAAATTAAAAGAGTACTGAGAGTTATTTACGCCGGCTTTTTCTCTCGGCCTACACCCTCTGTCTTCTTTGCCTTGATGTAGGAATGTCTCCGATTCAAATTGAATGACGTGGAATAAGTGATACCTGTATCTTATATTCCATACTAAACATATTTTATTTTATTAGGAGATATTAGAACAATTAGAATTTTTGTTTAATTTTAGATAGAATCAGTAAATTTTTTAAGAACTTTTCTATGTGTATTATGTTAAATGCAGAGTGAAGAAAACAAATTTTTCCAAAACTGGCTTCTGACAATCAGGTACGGAAGGAATCACCTACTTGTTTATAACGAAAAATTATTAATGAAATATACTTTAATGTGTGTACCAATGCACACAGGGTCACATCACGCCACTTTTTTTTAAATTTATTTACTTTAAAAAGGCACACTAACGAAACACTAACAAAATACATATACTTTCAAAGAACATACAAAAACACAATACATGTTCAATAACAAGACACAACATTTAAACGGAAAAATTACGATTATAAAAGGGAAAAGAAATAATGAAATAAAAACAATAGGCAATAAACTAGATTAAGAAACAAATTTAAGGTCAAATATGCACTTCAAATATTTTATAACGTACAATCGAATTCTTAGGTTTCCATCTATAAAACCCGTAAAAGTATTCTAAAAAAATTTCACCTGCCGGCATATAAAACTTGGTACTAAGCTTTATTGTTTATTTCAGCCACAATTTTTCGCTGGTGCCGCACCAGTGCCATCCGGAGACAACTTCTTCAACCCTGAGCCCAAACAGCAATACCGACCTAAACAGGACTTCAGACCTGCACCTCAACCTCAGCAGTTCGCACCAAGACACACCGAGGTCAGTACTCTCAATGCTACAAGGCTCGTAGTGCATTGTAAAACTTTTCTTTATAATTATTAATATAAAATTGTATTGTTCTTTATATTATTAACCTACATTATGAAAATTATTAAAAACTGATAAATAGAAAATTAAATCAAGTTTAAAAAGTCCCTGTGGCAGCGTACCTTTAATGCTGGCAACATTTCTCCGCTGTATACTGATTCGTTGAGCGAGGAAAACACCAGCTCTGGGGTCACCGGTACTATCTACCAGGCGCTAACTTAAATCTTTAAGTAGCGCCTGTGCACTTGAACCCCATTGCCTAAGAGTTTCTACGCCAAAGGGAACAAAAACAAAGTTGGAGGAAAGACTTAGTTTAGACTTAGTTTTATATTAATTCTTTTGTTAAAACAAAGAATTAATATAATAACTATACAAATTATATTAGTTAAATTAATGAATATAGATTTTAACATTTTTATTTAAAAAATATTTTAAAGTATAAAATCACACGCTTAAGCGGTAGCTAATATTGCATACAAGATACTATTGTGTATAATATGTATATCTCTTTGCAATATTAACAAATGTTAATTTATGTAATCATCTTACAATCGTATTTGTATGTAAAAGTAATTTACTACCAACTTAACCAGAGTTTTATTTCGTTCGGATTAGCTTGGTCAGTATTTTTACTAATTTACTTATTCCAGGTTAATTTCAACCAGGAAAACTTCGCCCCAGCTGCTCCGCAACCCCGTTTCCAGCAGAACCAATTCCAGCAGAGTCCAAGCAAGCCCTACTCCATGCTTGACCAGCTCCTTAAAGAATACGCCCTACCCGAGGGCGGCTCTGCCGCCGTTCACGACATCACGTTCGGATCCTACTAGATATAAACAAATTTGTATATAGTTCGTAATTAAATCAAATTTAGTTCCCGTTCTTGTGTTATTTTATTTACTGTGTGTGTGTATAAAAGTTTAACACAGTGTTATTATTATAGGATAAATATTTCTGTCAGAAAGTGATAAGTTAATTCATTCATATATCGAGTGTTTCATATTTTAATAGTGCCTTCAAGATTTCTTAATAATTTATTTGCTTGTCCAGTAAAGTAATGAAATTGCATTTATGATATTCTGACCTATGGCCACAGATTTATATTACAACCATTTTTCATGAAAATTTAGCTAAAACAAACACATTTAACGGAATGAATGTCTGTATATAAGGGTAGTTTGTATGTTAATCAAAACACTCTTTATTTTGTCCAAGAATGTCTGAAGTTGTTGTCTGAAGAAAAAAATGAGTCTAAAAATATCGATTTATTTAATCATATTTTTAATTCACATATTAGTATTAGTCTACTGTACTTTCGATAGAGATTCTTAAGTTAATTCACCAAAAATCGATCTTAGCACCAATTAGTACATATAATTTAAATATTCAGTTGAAACTCAAACTCAAAATATCTTTATTCATATAGGTAAAACAAGTTCACTTATGAACGTCAAAAAGAAGTTAAATTAATTGTAAATTTACATTTACTACCTGTTCGCAAGTCAAGGGCGTAGAGCGGGTAAGAAGAATTGGCAAGAAACTTTCCGCTACTCTTTTTAATCGCCAAGTATTGAGTCATACAAATTGTTTGAACTGGAGCAAATCAATCCCAAGGATTAGGATCATTTAAGTATTCGTCAAATTTATAAAAAGCTTTTTTGATTAATTTACGTTTAACGAGGGCTTTGAATTTATTTAATGAAACATCTCTAATTTCGCTTCGGAGTTTGTTATAAAAACGAACACAATTTCCATATAAGGTGTTAGGTGAGTGGTTATCTTTTGGAGCCTGGTTGGTCGTACGCTCAAATTAGTTCTACTTCGCGTATTATACTGGTGAAAGTCACCATTTGTTTTAATATCGTTTACATTTTTTTGTACATACAACAAGGCTTCAAGAATATAGCCGCCTTTCGCCTTACAAACCATTATAACCTTCACTTCGAGTAATGGATGTCAATGGATTCTGAGATAGTCAAACTATCCAGATATAAACTAATAAAACACATAAAAATTATGCTAGCCGAATTGGAAATCGATTACACAGAGGCCTTGCTACATATTACACTAACACAGATACAGTGCCTGCTTATAACAACTCTCAGCCACACTCAAATACAGACTGTAAATACGCACACATACACCCCCATTCATATACTCATTATGTATATTTAAGGTCTTATACGAATTTTGATTAGATGAAGCACTAAGGCTGCTGCCTCGAATTTTGCGGGCAGCGGGGCGGCGGCGGCGGCCGCGCGGGAGCGGCAGGATCTTATGCGTAAAATCAAATGGACCGGTTCTCGAAAACAGCGGCGTGGCAGCGGTGCAAGGGCGGGTAACGAGCGGTGCAAGCCGCCACCGCACCGCTGCCCGCAAAATTCGAAGCAGCCTAAGACTTTTTCTTAAATGTTTTAAACATGCATCATGTACCACTGAATAATTGTAATCTAGTTACCCACAACACAGGGGCGCCTAGTGTGGGGACTAGCGTTAGATCAATTTTGTCACAACCATATTTCTGTCATGAATAAAGTTTTATTTATTTAAATACATCTAAAGACTAAACATAAAAAAACTATGCAGAACATTAAACAACTAGAATTTTGCGTTTCTAGGCCACGTATTGGCTAATTAATTATAATGGCTGAAATTCAGGGTAAACAGCGAGTTGGTAGATGGAAAAAATGATGGCTTCGCAACGTTTAGGAGTGGACGGGTATTGCGTCTGCAGAAGAGTTGCTGCATCTGGCACAGGACAAGACAGGCTTCAAGAGACTGACGGTCAACCTCCAGTAGTGGAGAGACATCAAAACAAGAAGAAAAAGGACATATTAGTCCTTAGTATTTCTAAAAGTTTTTAATAGTAGTTTAGTTAGTAATTTCTTAATAAATAAAAAAATTAAAACTTTATCAATGTCATGTTTCATATTTTACATGTTAACTATTATATGATTACAACACGCTACTATACATTGTTATATTTATCCGAGGTCGTGGGATTAATTCCCAGGGATTCAGACTGTAACAATATATGCCTCTTACTTGACACGTATGTACTCATAGAATTGAGTAATAGTCGATTTATGTACTTAGCATATACCGTACAAGTTGGTATTCTTCGTGGCTTAGCAGTTTCGTAAACGGACTGCGACGCGTATCTTATTGGGTCTCTATCGCGCCAGTATACTGCTGACTGGACATTTAGTTTTACACATACTTTGGAGATTATAGAATATGTAGCATTTTAATGATGAAATTTTTGAAATCGGTTCCATAGTTTTTGAGTTTATTTGCTACAAACATACAGCAATACTAATCATTATCTAATATATAAAATTCTCGTGTCACAATGTTCGTTCTCATACTCCTCCGAAACGGCTTCACCGATTCTTATGAATTTTTTTATGCATATTCAGTAAGTCTTAGAATCGGCTACTATCTATTTTTCAACCCCGTAAATGATAGCACAATTTTTTTTTTTGAAAATTTTTTATTGTGTTTATTTTTTATGATACAACATACAAAAATACATACAATCCCTAATTTTCATCCCTCTATGATCAATCGCTATTTTTATTGTAGATAGTTATTAATAATAATGATTTTGCGTATGCCTGAAATGGTTGAAGTTTGCTGAGTGCAAACATTCTTGTAATTCGAACAAAGACTCTTACTATTCTACTTAACTTCACCAGAGTTAACATTCTTAAAAGAGACGCAGAGCAAAATATTAAGCCTCTGAAGGTTGTTATGCAATAATCATAGGAAACCGTATTGATCTTCACACAGTATTTTATCAGGTCTTGAGTTTGATAACCAACGAAACAATACCTATGGTATGATAATAGATAAGCGTTTGAAAATTATTTATGTAAAAAAAAGAAGCTAGTTGTTTATATGTAATAATAAATAAAAGTTATATTTATTTTAAATCTTTACTAAAATGCAGTTCGTTATCTCTTTACTATATCAACGCGAAAGTCATTCAATTAATAGGGTTAGCAAGATTTTGTAAAACTTTTTTCGATATATTTTTCCATTGTTAAGTTTTCGCGAATAATATAAGTAAAACCTACACCATCTATTGATAACGCAGTTTGAACAATCGTAAAATATTATCAGTTTCCTCTTTTGTCTATTAAAATTTTTCCCATAAAGATGGCATCCGTGTGAGATTTTACGCTGCGATTTGTCACATAATAGGCTTTATGGAGGAAACAAAGTCGTTATAACATTACAGACAATAGGTTTTTAAGCCCTAATCTAAACTGTCACAAATTTGATTTCTGAAAATTAAAAAAGATCTGGTTTTGTTTCTTATTCCGTCATAAACGACTATTTTTTTGTAGTAGCAGCAGTGTTGCCCTAGTGGTTTTCAAGTGCGACTCTCATCAGTGAGGTCGTAGGTTTGATCCCGGCTGTACACCAATGGACTTTTTGTCTATGTGCGCTTTTAACACTCGCTTGTATTGGGAAACATCGTGAGGAAACCGTGGTGTCTTATACTCAAAAAGTCAACAGTGTGTCAGGCACAGACGGTTGAGCACATTCCAGTTAGAAATGATCAAGGAAAATATACAAAAATCTAGGGCCCAGACCTAAAAGGTAGTACCGCTATTGACATGTAAATTTTTGTATTTAAAAAATTTCGGTTCTCGAAGTTCCTATAATATTGATCTATTTCTTCTACTTACTTCGTCAAATATATTTACATTATTAAATCGTTGGCACTCTATATCGTAATACATTGTTAATAAACAAATAGATATGATTGTCCTAGATAGATAAAGCAATGCAACATGCGTGGGATAGACGATTTTATGACATATCGCCTCGCTTTTAAACAATGGATGCGACCGTTTTTATTGCGATACGTTACGATTATGTTACGACAGAAGTCTAGTTTGTTTTTGTCTAGTTTTTAAATTATATAATTAATTATATCAATGCAAGCGTCTGAGTTTTTAAGTGCCTTTATACTTTTGCTTTTTACAATTGCGTGCTGACTTGACAAAAATAATGGCGTCTTATGCTCGAAAGGAAAACAAAATATTAAATAATTAGAAAAAATGTATTAAAAAACTTAATGTTAACTTATTTACAAATGGTAAACTATCGAGTATTCATTACATATTGTTATTTAAATACTATTTTTGTTTGCTGTCGCTGGATCCTTCTTCTCCGAGTATTTGTATATTTCTCACCTGTTTACGGGCTGGTGCAGCCGTCGTCAGCTCTGTGGACGGCGCCGGAGTTGGCATGTAGTCGGGGCTAATGGCTAATATCAACATTTTCAACAGCAACGCTTCTCTTACTTCAACGGGAAGGTATTCTGAATCATCAATGTTATTCGAAGCTGAGCTCACTGAATCATAGGGCCTGTACCTTCGCCTAGGTACGTATCTTTGACTTTCATACTGGTTGTCGTAACTGTAATCCTGCCTGTATTGGTCGTAATCATATCTATCATCGTCATACCGTCTTTGATAATCTTGGTTGTACTGGACGTTATGGTAAGGCTTCGGCATCAATTGATCCATTATCGCTTGCAGACGATTCTGGCGCAGCATCAGAATATGAAGCAAGCGTCTAAAGTCCCTGGTACTTACAGGAGCTGTGATGGAACTCATGTCGTCATATGGATCATATCTTTGAACTGGCTGTGGTCGATAGTTGACAAAACGTGCTTGGTATCCAGGAATCGGCACCCCCCTGTCGTCAACGGGTATGGGGATTAGTCGTACCGGCCTTCCATCGTATTGTACTGTTGCTGGATCATGCACAGTTGCTTTTGTTTGAGGCGTATCTTTCACAATATGAGGCTCCAATACTTTGTCCTCATATTCATATTGGGGAAAGGGCCGTGTGTTGCCTATAGGGATTGGGGCTCCGGGGTTGTCTCTTAAATATTGATCCGTTCTGAAATGAACCGCTGCAGGTCGTCTATATATTGGCTGATCATACTGCGTATATTGATTGGTAGCTTCATGGTGATCTCTAGGTCCTCCAATACGCACTACCGGACCAGCGTTTGTTGTTACCACATTTTGCTGTTCAAATACCCTGCCTGTACTTGATTCTATTGTAGTTTCCTGATCTTGTAATTGGACTTCTTGGTACGGATTTGGTACTTGTTGACGAGGAGATATTATTGAATGTAAAGAATGGTATCTTGATCGAGGCGTCGTCGTAGTAAATAAGGGGCGAATGGTTCCGTGAGATGAATGACCACCATAAACATCCGTTGAATCATCGCCCATAGATTGCTGCAGACTTACCATGTGATGATTGTGGCTAGTTCCTGATAGCTGTCGACGTATTGCGTTAGATTTAGTATCTTTTTCCTTTTCAGTCACTTCTTCGTAAACTGGTTTTAATGTATGTGGTGGGTTCGTTGTAGTCGATTTTGGAATAAGATCATCTGATGAAGCTGACATAGGATTTAATATCTGAGTTCGGTGTTTCATAATATCTTCTTTAGGTTTATATATATGTAATATATTAGCTGTAGTTTCTTCATGTTTAATTTTTTCCGTCGTTGGATCTAGCATAGGTGGTGGTCTAACAGATGTTACAGGCCTTCTTCTCGGTATTGGTTGGATAACCGTCCCTCTTGTTGTTGCACTACTCCGAGTGGGATAAACAAGAGTTGCCAAGGGCCGTCGAGTAGTTGATGAAACAGTTTTATTCACTCTCACTATCATGGGTGGTGTACTTGTTGTTGTGGTTGTTGATACGGGAATCGGTGTACTTTCTCCATTAGAAGTATATGTTACACGTTTTATTTCACCATCATCAGAAATATAACCGAACGTACCTTTGACATTCCCTAACACGTCCCTGCTTTCAATTTTAAACGTTCCATCATTTGCTTCGTAGCCAATTGTGTAGGATCCATCTTCGTTAAGACGGCGTATTTGTTTCACTATTTCCACTTTAGTAGGGTCTCCCGTTTCACTGGCCTTGAGGATTTCTTTTGTTGAGTTAGATGGGGGCTCAATATTAGTATAATTTTTACTGTCCACGGGTAATGCAATACTTGTTGTTATACAAGTAAGTAATATGAGGAGAATCATCTCGATACAGCGATGGCAGCCACATGACGGCTCTACGGCGTCGGCCGCGAGCAATACTCCCCTATTTATAAAATATAATAAGACCCCACTCGTGAGCCAAGCGTGCGAACGTCTTACGCAAATAATTCCATTGTTGTCACTGCATTATCTAAAGCGGGAAATCTTTTTTCTTTTAAGTGCTGTAAGGTTCCAATTGTTTAATTGTGCATTCCATGTGTCCCTTGTAAATAGTATTGAAACATTGTTATGTTGAAGTCATCGTTCATTTATGTAAAAATTTGGAATGTGTAACATTTTAATTACCCAATTGTTGCAGTTATTGTAGCGTTTTCTCACGATACTAGAGTCAATGTCAGTATTTAATAACTGGCTTATGGTCTGGCTGAATTAGGTTTAGCTTAGCGTTATATTTAACCGGTACAAATTTTAAATTGGTTTAGCACAAAAGGGCATTGAGAATTATGAGAAATCCCTTAATTATGAAATCCTTTGTGTTTAATTTGCTTGAAACTACTTTAATTCGATTCAGTACTGCATAATATAGCCTTACTGTGAGAACACCTATTCTTCTATTTACGATAAAAGCATTTGAATTATGATGTCATTGTTTACATTTTATGGGATAATAACTCAACATAAAATATATAATATTGCATACATTATTTAATTTCAGATATAATTTTAATTTTTCTCGGGAAAGATTTTATTCATAAAACGTTATCCCTTTCACACTCAAATTATATTTTACTATTCCAGAGTTCATATACATCTAGATCAATGCTTTCGTTAAATGAATAATAGTGTGATTTAGTTTAAATCAAATAACTTATTAAGGAAAAGCCTAGCTTAAAGCTGGGGATACACATGCCCGTAGCTTGCACACTAGCATACCAGCTCCTTGCAAGTGCCAGCTACAGTCATGTGTATTCACTAACTGGCATGCCTGTAACTGGAAGCTAGCTAGTAGTGCAAGAGCTAGCGCAACATTTGATTTTCTTGCATGCCCGTTGAGGGAGGGGCCGGTGGGGGACTGCTAACCTGGCACGTGTGAACAGACGCGACAGCTACGGGCATGCCAGTAGCCGACTCTCTTACCCAAACCCGTCTTCGTTTTTTCTTTTTATCTTCTCATTAATGAAGTCATGGTCTTTGGGGCCGGTTGGAAGGGTGTGTCCAGTATACCCCCCATGTCGCTATATGGGGTCCCTTTAAAAATTGTAAAAACATTTAAATATCTTGGACACATTTTGACACCCGACCTCAGGGACGATGCTGATATAGATAGGGAACGGAGAGCGTTGTGTGTCAGCGCGAACATGATCGCCCGCAGGTTTGCACGATGCTCAATTGATGTGAAAGTAACCTTGTTTAGAGCATTCTGCACATCATTCTATACGAGCGCCTTATGGTCGAAATATACTCGATTGTCATACAACGCTTTCCGTATCCAATATAATAATGCGTTCAGGGTGCTGTTGCGTCTGCCTCGATTCTGCAGCGCATCGGGGATGTTTGCTGAGGCGCGGGTGGATTGTTTTTACGCCACCATACGCAAGAGATGTGCATCCTTGGTGCGCAGGGTGAGAGCTAGCGGTAACGGTATGCTCCGCATTATCGCGGACCGAGTCGATTGCCCATACCTGAATCACTGTTCCTCTATTTCATGCGGAATGATTCCGGTATGAATTAATGTAAACATACTAACACTTAGATTTAAGGTATTAAGCTGTAATTTACTAACATTGTTATGGAACCTTGTTTTCTGAATTAAACAATTAAATTAAAAAAAATTAATTTAGCTACACATTCAATTGCTAATAACAACACAATTTTGGTTAATTCACTTCGATTGTTATCCATGTTTAGCGCGCAAGAATAGGTAGGTACGAAAGACTCTCACGAACTGTCCTGTGTATGCGCGATGGTAATACTGGCATGCAAGGGCACAGTATGCACGCCAGTACTACTTGCAAATGTATCCGCAGTGTGCCAGTTACTCGTACATGCCAGTAACTTTCAAGCCAGCTACTTTCCCCAGCCTAAGTATCCACTGCGAGTTTTTTTAAGCCAAATTAATATTGCGCACTTGTTTTTATTTTGTTACTTGTGTTTGTCCCTAGTTACACTAAGCACCAGTGGTTTCATGTCGAATCAAATTGTGCTTCCTCGGTGTAATGAAGACTGTAGGTCACTTTATTGTAAGTTACTAAGAACGAAGATATAATCTGGACTTGTAAGAAGAAAACAAAAGAAAGTAAAGCAACATAGGGCTGCCAAACTTTGTAATTAAATTATCAGTTTTATTTTAATTAACTCGGGCGGCAACTAACATTAACTTTGTCTATATTTTTGGTATATTTGTATGTTTAAAAGTTTTAATATTTTATCGAGCGAACATCGAATCGATCGTGCGTTCTTTTCAAATATATCTTCATACTTCGCACTGTTGTATGATAGATATAATGTTATTTTATAGGTTTGCCATAATAGGATCTTCAGTATCTTGTCTTGCGTAATAATTTGCATCAATATACAGTTGTTTGGGCAACGCTATTTTAAAGAGTTTTTTAATCAAAGAAAGAGGTAAAAATTATATATTTTTGTTTGCTAGGATATATTGAACAAAGTCTAATTTAGCGTCCCAAAATTCTAGATAGGTTCCATACAGTATTGTTATTTTTAGTCAACAACGATATGTTCATGTATTTTACTGCCATCTAGTGTTATAGTTTGGTACTCTTTGATACCAAACATAAGTAAGGCCGAATGGTTTCCATTCTCCTTTATATAAGCGCATATACATAAGTAACATGTACAAAACCAGAGTGCACTGTTGTAAATGTTATAATAGCATAACTATGCATAATTTCTTTCTCCAATAAAATTCCTCAGAGTTCAATGAATAAATAAAAAAAATATTGGTCCAGCCGTCGAGTGTTGGGCTATGCAACATATTTTGGTTTAATTTTTATTTTCTTTACTTAATTAGTTAGTTATTATAAATACTAGTGATATTATTTATTTTAAAAACTTCATGTTTTTAATAATATGAAGTGTTAAAAGAAGAAGTAAATAAAGTTTAATAGCAGTATTTCTCGGCTTCAGACGGCCAGAATTTTTTAAATATTATGGAAAAAAAGTCTTTATTACTCAGATTATGCAGCATTTTAGTATTTTTGTTCTATTTATTACATAATTATTATTAAGTCATTCCCATTTATAAAATTAATATAGATATTTAGGTCATATACTAAACAATAGCTGTAATACAAAAATAATTTAAACTAAAGTAAGTTCCATTGAGACGATCATGATTGTTGATAGATGATCAAAACTGATGAAAATATAAAACATTTTTGTATTCTTCATACTTTGCTGACACTTACAGACTTTATAAGCATAAGCAATGGAGCACTTTCTTTGTCTGAAATTTAATAATTATGTTCATATAAATCAAGAATATTATTATTTAATATTTAAATTTTTTTAAGGAAATATCAAAAAGGTTAGTCGACATCACAGGAGACCGAAGAGCTGGTAGCTACCCCTGACAAAGAATTAGTCTAGCTATAAATTCGTCTAACAAAGGGGGAACGCTGCCAGTATCTTCGGAACCTTGCCTACAGGGACTCCTTTTAATAATATAATTTAGTTATTACATTTTAGAGTTTTTTAATTATAATTTGTAATTGTCATTCAACTACTTTACATTGTGACTAAAAACATTGCGCGAAGTGGCTCTGCTTATTTATTCTTTTATTTTCGGTGGTGAAACTCGTATTCATGTTTTATTTAATAATAATGGTGTGTTAATGTTTAATATAGCTTATACATTTAACATACTCAAGGTGTGTTTTATTGACTACATTAATAGAAGTTAATGTAAAAGTTTCTCCTAATAATTAACTACATATTTAAATTAGATTTGTTTTATCCCATGTGGGATTGTATGTAATTGATTAAGTCGATAAATATAAGTTATTAAAGCAATTGCCAAATTGTTTCGTTATATGTCATTGAAATCGACGCATTATTACTGAAGAGAGATAGAGAAATCAAATTTATATTGATATCTTTAAACAATTGTCACCATATTTTTCATTATTATTTTTAAATGAATGAAAATCAACTGGCAATTGTAATTAATTAAAATAGGGTATAATTTAAAAAACAACTACTCGTATGTGACAATAATCTTAATAACTATTGCATACCATCCTTATGCCCCTTTGCCCATATCTGATACTCTACAATTACCCCACTCACCTTGGCAAACTATTTATAAAGAGAAAATAAGGTATTGAAAATGAGGAATGTTATTTTTGCGGTATTCAGAAGGCTTTTTACGTATATTATTTTAAACGTATTGAACCTAATTTGCGTTATAGTACGGTTTTTATTCATAAGTCACTAAAATTCTATACAAATATACGTATTAAGCCCCTTATAAGTTAATTAGTAGTCTCAATTCATTCTTTATGTTTTAACCAAACATACATTAATTATGGGTAAAAATTGTGTCAGATAATTATACTTTTCGTCGCTTAATTCTGAAATGTATGATCGTGCGTAATATGCAAAGCAAATAGTATATAGAGAATCGCACAAAGAACAAGTTTAGTCATTATTTTTGTTAAAAATATGAAGATAATAACAAAAAATGTGGCTTTTACCAGTGACGAAAGCGCGGTGCAAGAAAATTCATATCAAATATTTAGTAGGGTCAAATGCGACGTGCCACTGTGCAAATAGCAGTAACAAAACAATCCTTATGGAACATGAATATGCTTAAAAGTCCAAGTTACTTGTAAATATATAAATTAATGCGTTAAAGCTGGTAAAGGGATTAAACATTAATTTATTACGCTAGAGAATGCGGAACTGAACAACCTGCGCTCTTTATTGAATTACTGGGCCATATCTTTGTGTAATACGCAATTACGCATCGTTCCGTTCTATATAATTTGGCGTCGAGTTATTAAAATATATTTGACAGCTCACAGCATGAAACCCCTAATTTTGTTGGCGTAATTAATGACATAATGTTGAGTTAATATGGCAACATTGAAGTCAGGCGCCAATTACAATTGACGTCATTTATAATTAGTGATATGCCTAGTTGTGCTTAGACATGGTTTCAGGATATGAATTACTACAACGATTTAAAAAAAATTACAAGAATTTCTACAGTTGACAAAATTGTTCCTAGGTCGGTCAATATATATTGTTATCAATACCATCAACGCTATGAAGACATTATGTTTTATCAAATTTACAGGTTAGAGTTGTATTTAATGGAATTAAGTACATTTCATTAAAAATTAATAAAAAGAAAATTAATACAAATTTAAAAAGTTTTGTCCCTGTGGCTGTGTAGCTTTAACGCTAGAAGCATTTCCTCGCTGTATTTCGATACTTATTCGTTAAGCGAAGAAAGAACCAGGTCTGGGGTCACCGGTATTATTTACCAGGCGCCAACTTTATAATATACAAGAAAAAATCTTTAATTAGCGCCTCTGCACTTGAACTCCATGGCCCAAGAGTCTCTACTCCAAAGGTATATACTCTTATATTTGAGCCGTTTATTATTTTCCTTTGCCGTCCTTTTTTATTATATACGTAGTAATAATTAGGTTGAGAAAATTGTAAATATTGTATAAAGTACATTAAACGCAAAAGAGGAAGACAATTAAGTAGGTTAGGAGACCAGATTAAGAAATCAGAAAGTGGTACATGGCAGAGAGTGGCACAGTGCAGACAGAAATGGCGGGATTTGGAGGCCTTTGCCAAAAAAGGGCAAACAGATATCAAAAAAAAATTAGATAATATAAATATAAATGTACTTAAATGTAAAGTATCTCATACAAACGGCTTTTATTATTATGATTAATTGTATTTAATTAAGTTAATCATCAGTGTAAAAAAACAACATCTTCAATTTATAAAAAGTATAATTTATTATAAAAACAAAATATTACAAAATTGCTACATTTACAGACTGGCCCCAGTGGGGGTTCGTTCGTATCGTATCTTATAACTATCTATGTTAAGTACTGATAGACACAGCATTATGTACACTCGACCTCAAGTCCAATGAACTAGATATTTCGCCACTGCGACCGCAAAAACTTGTACACTGTATTATGGCCAGACGGACTCAAATCGGTCAACAGTGTTACCTAGCTCCTATATATTTACTACTTTCTATACTTGGATGCCATGTCCTCTCAGGAATGCGTCGATTTGGCCTGATGATATAGATTCTCCTCCTCTGGGCACGTAGTAGTATTGCGGGGATTGGGCTCTTTGGGCTTGATGTTGTGGTTGGATTGACAGTCTTTGGGCTTGAGCGCGCGCTGCGGCTCGGTCCCTCTGCAACTGACTCTGCTGGATTTGCTGTTGTTGAGCGAACAGTTGCGCTGAGTTTTGGAATTGCGATTCGGACTGCTGTCTCTGGTAAGTCTCTTGATTCGTTGGCTGAATTGGCTGTCTGTATTGATTGGGAATCGCTGCGGATGGAATCTGGGGTGATGGAATAAACGGCCTCTGCGCCTGTGGCTGTTGTTGCGCTACGTAGGGTTGCAGTCTTTGATTTAGGTTCAATTCTCCCTTAGTTTGGGGTAAGCTTTGGAATAGCTGGGTATTGTATTGGCCGCTGGATGGATCGTAGACCAGTTCGGTGGAATACAGAGGGTTACTAGGCGAAGGACTAGCGGCGACTGTAGTTCTCGTTGGGCCACTAAGGGCACTTGGGGTGGTCGATTGGACTTGGTTCTCGTGGTGGAATTTAGCAAACTCAGCAGCAAAGTCAATTTGGCTGGGTCTGGTCGGTGGGGCAGCTGGAGAGTGAGATGGGTAGTTGGGTGAAGGTGATTGAGCGTAGTTGGGTGAAGGTGATTGAGCGTAGTTAGGTTCGGGGCTGTATTGCACCTGAGGTCTTGCAGTAACTTGGACGAGTTGAGGTCTGAAAGTGGTTGCAGGAGGAAGAGCTCTAGCAGTGGTCACTGGGACTGGTCGGGGCGTAATGGCTATGGGTTGAGCTTGGTAGGTTGGTCTATGCACGGGCCTTGCAGGTTGTGGACGCTGCACAATTCGTGGTCTCAGGTTCTGTAGGGGCTCTTCTTCTGGTTCTTCGTCGGCATCCCTGAAGTCGTTTTGGAAGTAAGTTGTCGTAGGTCGAGCAGTAGTGGGTCGAAGAGCGGGTCTAGTCGGATAGTTAGGGACGCCATCGTCGCGTTCTGCAGATTCTGGAGCAGCTGGCCCTTCTTGTTCTTCATCTTCATTTGGCTTGTTAGGGTCACATGGGTTGCCAGACACGTAGGTGAATTCACGTTTGTTGCCGTCTGGGTCGACGTATCCGTACTTTCCACGGACGACGCAGTCAGTGCCTCTAGTCTCCTCCTTGAAGGACCCATCAGCTGCTTCGTAGCCGAAAGTAAAGCTGCCGTCATCGTTTACCTGTAATTTAATTCATTTGAAAGTCGAAACAAATCAATACATATAAAAACAAAATGCGACGTACGTACGGAAGTTCAAACCTACCTTATTGTAGTTTCGGATAGTTTGTACGGGCGGCTGCTTAGGGCTCTCCTGTATCTGGTTCTGCTTCAGACGTTGGGGCGCCCTGTGAACGGCACGTGGTTCATACTCCTCGTCAACTCGATCTTGTGCCTGGTAGAGGTCGTATGCGTCCGGAGATACCAGGACAACCTGAAAGGAAAGAAAATAAATATAATGTTAAAAACTTACACAGGATATTAAACCTCAATATTTCTGCGACCGTTTTGCGGAAATAGAATCATGGGCCTCCAACTTAAACACCATGTCAACAATCACTATACTAATGTGCGTAAATAGTAAAACACCTACAATATCGTTGGAAATTAATTATTTGGAACTAATTTTCCAAAATATTTCAGTGATGTAAATTTTTCTTCTTGTAAATGCCTGGAGTGAAGTAGGAGGATATAGAATGGCATGTGAGAATTAATCAAATATTTAAAACACGTTTAAACTAGACCATTCATTCCACATCTATAAATAGAAATACTGCATACCACTAAACGGAAACCTCAAGAAATATTCTGGTCAAAAAAATTCTACAAAGTTTTAAATCTTTGTAACATTTTTACATTTCAAATGTATATACAGCAATGCAAGACGTTTCTTATGAATATTTGTGACAGTATTAAAAAAATATTAAATGAAATTTTTTGCAATTTTCTTACATTATTCTCTTAAATCTTTTTGACACAATTAAAACTGATTTTGATATTATTAAAATAGGTTGCTTATCTAAATGTAATCTTAATAATTCGTTATTTTATACACAACATAAATTTATTTATACATTTACATATAAGTAACAATCTTGGTCTGGTGGCTTAGAATTGACGACATGTGTCAGTCAGAGAAGTCTATAGAATCCCTCCTGGTAACTTCTGGCCGTAGCTCCACTGAATTATGCCAATTATTCCCAACTGGGGCTTGGGGTCAAAACTTTATACTTAAGTGACAGAAATATAAATGTTGAACTAACCCTTTCCCCTGCCCGATCGTGTGCCTCCGGTTCATACTCGTACGCATCGATGGGCTGCTGCTGCAGCCGCTGCCTTGGCCTTGCAGCCATACCAGTCGCCAGCACCAGACATAGCACCTGTGAAAAAAATATGGTTTAGATTATATTACAAGTTGCAAGGGCGTTGGCGGCCGCAATATTTTTACAATATTGCAAGATACAATGTTGTAAAAGTTAATTAAAGTTCTTTTTATGTACAGTAGCTTAAGAATTTTGTACAATTTCCAGTATTTAAAAATACATCGAAATTTGCAAGTATAATCAAGTTAAATATCAATATTTTCAAACAAAAACCATGTTTGACATACTTTAAGCTATATAATTAGATAGAAACTTAAAAAGCTCACAATTTTTATGATGTGAACCACGTTAATCTAAAAGGAATTTATGAAAGACCACCAAACAACACCAGTGTTACAAACACATTCATTTATATTTAATTGCACATGAGAAAACAATAAACATCAAACGCGATATAATGAATCCAGAAAACCAGTTGTATGATTATTTTTAAAAGACGTTTTTAGATATATTATTGATAATAGAATAGTAGATGTATCAAACAATAGTAACTATCGTAATTACAATGATTAAATTTCCACAGTCTTGAACTTTATTTGGCCTTCAAGATAACGATATGTGTAAAATATATTGCAGCACCTTGGAATATACACCTGGCAAGTAACACCAGATTGCATAGAATCGGAATACCTGAAGACTTTTGAGGCATAACAATTATTTTTACGAAATATAAGCATGAAAGTTTTTAATTTCTATTTAATTATAATAGATCATTTTATTTTATAAATAATCTATTATTACCCTACCGCTAAAATATAATAGGAATCCAAGATAAGCTACGTCGCCGGCTCATACTCATAATAATGGCTCAGCGGCGCTACAACCTCTTTAGGTCTTAGCCTCAGATTTCTGAATCTGTTTCATGATCATTTTTAAATCTAATAGGCAAGTAGTTGATCAGTCTCCAGTGCCTGACACGCCGCGCCGTCTACTTTTTGGGTCTAAAACATGTCGGTTTCCTCACGATGTTTTCCTTCACCGTTCAATGTTAAATGCCACATAGAAAGAAAGTCCATTGGTGCACAGCCGGAGATCGAAGGTACGACCTCAGGTATGAGAGTCGCACGCTGAAGCCACTAGGCCAACACTGCTCTTACGGCCCATACTCATACGTATACATAAGCGATATTATTCTATGGTATTGAGATTTTTTGGCGATATTTATCTTCCTCTAAGACCAAGTATAAATCTATAGAAAATTGGTGAACAATTAGAGCAGTCTTATTTTTTTTAGTTTTGGCGATTACCTCTTCATCAGCGCAAAATTTCTATCCAGTGAGCATTTTCTTGAAGTCTGAGAATAGGAAAAAGTCTTCGGGTCGCTGGTTAGTTAAAGTGAACAAATCCAATTATTTAATTCAATTAACCAAATGCTACGTTTAACACAGAACTTCAACTGTTAGAATCACCAGATAATAAAACAATTAACGCATTATATGCATAAGTAATAAAATACTGAGAACGCAAAATAATGAGTAATTACCACATACCGCCCTAGTTTCATATGATGTAAGCGTGGAGTGACCACGCCGCAGGGAAAAGTGGCAAATTCCGCAGTAAAAACTAGTCTAGTCACGTAACCAGTACAATAATACTAGTTCGATTGGAATGTAGGTACTTGTTAATATTGTAATTACACAATGTACTACGCTCTATTTGGTTAGTGTGTACCTACAATGGATGGCTAAGACATTTCTAAGTTCGCTTCTGTTTCTTATAAAAGTTAGTGAGGCTGTGTTGTTAATAGGTTTTTAGTAATAATAATATAGCAGCGCAACCTTATGTGGGGACACATGTCAAAGGGTCTAAGACATGTCAATTTCTTTACGATGTTTTCCTTAACTGTATCTGAGCACATAGAAGAATCCAGTGGTTAAGCTTAAGCTTCTAAGCCAACACATTTCACTTCAAAAATAAACCTTATCATAGTATGTAACAACGGGAGATCACAAATACAAATGACCAATTATTGAATTCATAGTGATATTATCAATGATTTAGTAATAGACGTTTTTATATATTTGACAATTTCATTATACATATTTCTGATAACCCTAATATAAGAAACGAGGGAAAGTAAGAATAATTTTGTACAATGACGATTATATTTTAAGACAATTCTCGCCTGTGTACAATTTTTGTGAAAGTTTATGTCGCATTGTGTATGCGAAAATGTCTAATTTACGTAATTCAAACTTTTTCCTGTTCTTTATAACTCTTTATATTCTGTAGAAAATGCAGTGTTAAGAGCAATTAAATTTGTATATAGTTTTACATGAAAGTCTTTATATTATATAATTTGAGATATAATACTTATCTTACGACCTGGTTACTTTTTATTTCACATGTATAGTTTTCTGGTAAAATCTCCATACAGTTTTAAGCTTAAAGGAAAAGTATACATTTTTATACAAACAAGTATAACCATTATTATGGTAAGCATTATTGTATGTCGAAAAGATTTATTTTGGTAGAAATATGTTATTTTCACTATTTTTATTGACGGTATTACTAAACAACTGATAAACCGGTGGCAAGACGAAACCCGGTAGACGGAGGCTGCATTGGTGGGATGGAGTTGCAAGGACCTCAAAACAATAGGGGTTCGATGCGGGAAGCACTGGATAGATTGCGATGGCGATCAAAATAACACATATTACAATAAAGAGTGTACTTGAGGAGGCTAAGTCATTGCACACAAGGAACTGTTCGAGTATGAGGCATTCAAATCCAAGTACCTATAGATGATTGATTACAAAATAACAAGATATTCTACAATACGGCTTTTCCCCCCCCCCCAGACTACCTGCCTTTTTTTTGCCAATAAGTGCCACGATTTACATTTAATGACGTGATAAGGGCCTGTTCATTCCATAATAAACATATTTTATTTTATTTTGTAATTTGATTTATCGAAAACTATTTAGAAAACTGATACTTCATATCAAACCATCAGTTTCCTCTGGAGACAAAATTCTAGATCCATAACATAGATCCTCGTATTGTTACTCAACCTAGAAAGTGCACGACGCGTGCGCAATGTGAGATGTGTTGAATAGACAAGCGTAACAGCGCCATATAGAGTCAGTATCAAGTGCAATTGTGACATCACATACAGTCATTCATACATGTCTCAATCAAACAATCATGCCTATGCAATAGATTTTAGGACGCTTCTGTAACGTCAATTTCTTCACACAGTACCGAACATAGATTTTTGTCTAATGTTTTGTGGAGAAACATGTACTAAATGAAATGAATCCTGCTACTTCACTGTATCAATGCCTAGACGGGGGTTCAACTCTTAACAGTAAAGCTGGGCGTTGGAACCTCGGCTGTGTACCAATGAATTGTTTCTATATGTTAATGAAAAATTAGGGAATGTGCTATGTCATAGACCCAAAAAATTACAACGATAAAAATACTTTTTTTATCCACTGCCTGCACTGTATGATTATATCTGACATTTTAAATTGCAACGAATTGCTGAAAATTTATCCAATATGCATTACGAGGAATCAATCGCCATGATTCTAAATTCGTATCTCGTATATTCCATTCCATAGACATATTTCTAAATACCTCAGTACTCGTTAATTTTGCACAAAAGCTGCATTCGTTTTGCAACGCATGCAACCTGCACCAACAATGTCACCTCGTTAACCACAATCTGTCAGTATTGACATCTATCAATCTAACTTGACGATTGCATTACTGGGAACCTAGTTTGTTTGGGTATGTGGGCTGGCCTGTGCTGTTTATTGAGATGGTTACACATAGAATAATCAATCACTGAGGGTGAAACTCAACCGTGAATGCAAAGCAATCTGGAGATTAATGGATTTTTCTATATTGGTAGTTAAATATAATTCTTAAAATTAGCCTCCTTTAAAAACTTGTAACTTTAGCTTGAATTTGGTAGATGCCTAATGTACAGACACAAAATTAGTTGGTATATGTGGCACATTTCGCATACATACATAAGCACACACACATTTAAAAAATTGTAAGTTATGTTGTATTAATCTATACTTTTTTAAACGGATTACTAAAATGTATCCTGATATATCTTAATATATATAAATTACGCGTCACGTTGTTTGTCCGCTATAGACTCCTAAACTACTTAACTTATTTCAACCAAATTTGCACACCATATGCAGTATGATCTAACTTAAAAGATAGGATAGCTTTCATATATAATTCTACTGTACGTGTGTATGTCACTGAACTCCTCTTAAACAGCTGGACCGATTTGAATGATTTTTGTAGGCGTTTGGGTAGATCTCTGGATGGTTTAGATTCACAAATCAGCCCGGCAGATGGCGCTGCAGTCGGTACTTTCATACTTTGTTTAATATCCTAATCGCTTGTAGTATCATGCAGGACAACGTCTGTCGGGTCCGCTAGTATTAATATATATTACAAGTTTAAATTAATTGAGGTTAAAAAAAAATTTATTACACATTGGTAAAGTTTATCAACTGTTAGTGGCTTAAGCGAGCGCCTCAGAACCTTAAGGTCGTGTGTTCTAATGAGTGCATATTGCTTTATTTTTGTAAGGGCTCAACAATACGTACTCGTACGGTATAAGAAAAATGAGGAAACTGGCATGTCTAAGACCGACGAGAGGAAAATCGAAAATCGAATCAGAAGGCTGATCACCTACTTAATATCTATATAAGAAAAACAATCATCACGAAACGTATACAGAATCCTGAGGCTAGACTCTAAGTTTATAGCGGCATTTATATGTTTAAAACCAAATAGTACATTTAATTTAGTTCGACACATTTGAGGTAACGACATTTGCACCGTGACTTCAAATGACATACTCGATAGATTAATTGATATGTGACAAGTGAACTTAAAACAACTGGTTTATATCTGATATTTTGATCTTGGCCTAGTTCATGTCAAATGGCAGAACAACATTGTTACGATATTTTTAAGTGTTGACTTTTATGTTCTTAAGTAATTAGAAGTGTAATTTATAACATCCATTAAGACACAATTTCAATTTTTATCACTTAACAAACCCTTGGGGCAGATTTTGATTGATTGTGTAAATATCGTAAGTTCGTAATTAAAAAACAACGTAATGAATGCCTTAGCCCCGAAAAGTAAGCGGTGTGTGTCAGGCACCGAAGGATTCTATTTAGAAAAAACAAACGATCACAAAACAAATACACGAATCTGAGGACAAGACCTAAAAGGTTGTAGTGCCACTGGTGAGACGTGTCGATATTAGTGTCTCAGGTGTACCAGTTTATTTAGGCTATGTTCACATGTAACGCGCGTTAACGCGCGTCAACGCGCGATCAAATTTGAAGAGCGTTCAGATGATGAGTGCTAACGCGCGTTGCGAGAGTACTCGTCAGTCTAGTTCGGTAGAACGTAGAAAATGGACGTGGAAGAGGCTATTATTTTGTGGTTATATTATAAAGAAAAATATAAAAAAGAAAACGTACACATTGGGTTTATCCAATTTTGAAAAAAAATACAATTTATATTATATTTTTTATACAAATTTGCTATATTCCAACTTGCTGACCTTTTTTCTACTTCATCGATTAGTAAGTCGATGTCAATATCTTCAATTTCACTCATTTTAAAAGCGAGAACAAAATATAATTACGAAAATTAATAAAATTACATGCGATCGCGATGAAAGCGCGCGCTCATCTGAACAGCAAACGGACATTACATTAATATCAAAGCACGCGTCAACGCGCGATCCCCTGCGTCTAGAGACTTTTTCTCTGAGCGCCGCGTTGACGCGCGTTAACGCGCGTACATGTGAACAGTTGTATGAAAAATACCATAATCTCTAGTCGCGCGATTTGAAAACGCGCGTCAAGTTTTTGCCATCTGAACATAGCCTCACGATGACAAGTAAGTCCTCATAACCATTTGTAGTAGTATTGAAATTCGCCTGCATTGCACTTTAGTATTGCGACCAAACATATGTTTAGCTTTGTATACGAAACCTGTATTAACATTATTTTATTGTTCGGTATTAGAAATATTGATAAAATAAATGGTGTAATGGCCGCGGGCGGTGACATTGCGTGAATTAAACTCGGACAATCGTGAGTTTCGCAAAACTAGTTTATCATAACCGCGGGGTGCTGTAGTTAAATGCCGTATGGAACACGAATTTTGCAAAGGGTGCGGCTGAACTTTCAGCTGTAATGGGTTTTATCGGATTAAAAAGTGTTTGTTACATATGAGCTTTAGCTATATATTTCTGAATAACACATACCAAAATGTAAAAATTAGGAAGAAATTATAGATTGGACGAGTAGTGAGACAGGGAGAATCTGTCTCCAAAACTGTTCTGAAGGAAACATTCAGAAAGATTAATCTAATGAAAAGAAATCGTAATGAAAATAAATTTGTTAATTTTCTGCTCATATTAATTTACTTTCGATTATTAGATATATGTAGTATGTATAAAAATTATTACTGTTGACATCGGAAAAATACCTCAAGGTGTGGGAAAATCCTTGCAATGTAAGTACATATTTAAAAGCGAAAAGACTTTTATCAAACCTTAAAGAAACGAGTCATTTTTAATTATTTACATAATTTATTTTATTGATTGTAAATGTTAATATTCGTTATTTTATCTCCCAGACTTTATTATTGCTTTAATTAGGATTACGGTTCAAGGTCGTTATAATTTAAATAATTATATAACTCATTGATACAACAAGATTTTAGAATTATAAGTTTGACAATTTAAACAGTCTTAACTTTTATATATGTAACGCTTTTTTTATATAAGTTCATAATTTATTGCATTTATTTCATATTTGTTTTTCTTATTTTCGTATTTTTGTGAATATATTTATATAGTCTTTGTATTCTTTAAATACGAATTCTTATCGGGGAAAGGGGTAAAAATAATAAGATTACTTAAGATTTGCTACCATATATCTTTTGAGCGGATGATCAACTTTGAGGTTGTGCATTCATACATAATTAATATAATATTTACTCATTTAATTTTATTTTTCCATGAACAGAAGTAAGAATATAACTGTCACTTGCTTATGTCCTAAGTTTAAGTTTTTGTGAGAAAATAAATAAATTATATTATTATTAATATTTACTCCTGTGTAAGTGAAATCGACCTATCTCTGACATATTAAGAGCTTTATTACTTGGCCATTCTAATAATATAAATAAATAAAATATTAATATTAAAACTAATTTATTCTTATTTACTTAATAGGATGCTAACGGGCAGAATACTCGTCTGATGTGAACTGATACGCCCATGAACCCTTAAAACGCGAGAAGGCTCGCAAGTGCGTTGCCGGCCTTTAAAGAGTTTGTCGCTCTTTACTTGCAGTACCCGAAGTCAAATTGGTTCAAAAACTTTGACCTGCAGCTGGTGCCACATTGCGATGATGTACAGAAAAAGTGCCATTAGAAACGCTCAGTTTTTGAACGACGAGGTGGTGAGGGTGGAATTTCAGATTCTACTTCGAAGTCCGATGTGTTCCTTAATTGATATTTGATATATGAAGATTACAATGACTTGAGGTAACCGATCCAATGAGCGTATTCTAAATGCACAAAGTAATTAAAAAGCGATCAACGCAAGATGCGTTGGTCGTTGCAAAGACTTAGAAAAAATATTGCTTCATATAATCGAGTTGGTTTATATTTTATTTGACGTAATTCATGCTTTAATACCCTCAGTACATTTTACCTTTAGATTTCTGTATGAATAGGGTAACTAGAAGATGTTCCCCTTCTGTAGTTTAACATCTATTCCTATTTAAATTGTATATAGTTAATGAGCTTTTTATTTGAGTGGCTATATTATTGCATTATTATTAATTATTGAATCTGTATATTTTATACGAACATTTGTACTATTATGTTATACTTTCTTTATTCAAAAGAACTGTTTATAATATGACCACCACTGTATAATTTTATATACATATATTAGGAAATTTCTTATAAAAT